GGCAAATTGACCCAGAGGAGCCAAGTGGTTGCAAAACCGGACCTCTAGAACTCGGCTATCGAAACTCTGTCATGCAGCAACAATTAAAGAAAAAACATCTGACCTCCAGGACCTTCTCTCACCCCGGCTGAACGAATGACATGTAGGTCAGAATCCCAGGCATGGCATACCCAATTATACAAAGCGGTAAAAGATATGCATATGTCAGAGCTACTCCAGATTAACGAAACGGCATTTATAGAGAGGGAGGGATACCAGCATGTCATTTGATAGAAAAGTCACTCCCGTTCCATGCAGAGCCAAACCGGGTGGATGCACCGAAACATCAAGATTGCTCTCCATTAAATTCTGCAGCCAACAGGGCACCGCGTATTGCCAAATTAATCGGCTCGTCGTTGGCTTGACTGGGCTGCCACGCAATGGCACCCTGCATTGCCGAACGAATACATAGGTGGAGAGGTACCGAACGAAGGACATGCAGGTGATAGGCAGAGGATAGACAAATGGATTGATACGTAGACAGACCGGTCGACTATTTTCAGATTCATAACCAGATGAAAAAGGAAGGGCACGATCTATCACTACTCAGACCGACAGAGTACGAGCTGACAGAGACAGGACTGAACCCAGAACATGTCGGTCGGTGGATAGAAGATACTGCTCCTACGATGGAGTACTCAATACCAACCATGCGAAGACGAACGAACGGCATGACTGTTAGATACGGACTTGGCAATTATGACCTCATAGCTGGTCTAGTTCAGCTAATAAATAGGTCATGCATGCTTGCTTAGACGTTTAGCTTTCCTTGAACCATACAATGACCTTCCGTTCACGAAACACACAGGAGGGGACACGTGCGGGATCTTGAATGGTGAAGAACGCCATGACCGATTACCACAAGGTAACATGGAATGGAATAAACAAGGTCAATACCACACTCTGATTATTTTCACACGGGGGGGAGTGCATTCCCAAAGGGGATAGAGTCGCTCCAATACTAAGGGCAACATGACCACATTACCTTCAACCGCTTCTACAGGCCATCTATTAACAAATCAATTGGACACTTGAATGATACAATTCCGCAAAGTAACACAAGCAATCGCTTTGGTCCATTAGCTAGCAGCTTAGTAATCAATCAATCAAACATACAATCAATCAATCAATCAATCAATCAATCAATCAATCAGCTTATCAATCAACCAAACACCGAGCTGCAGTAAATCCGGCCTGAATCCTGGATGATAAAGCAGAAGACATACGGCCAAGAAGTGGACTTACTTGGCAGGCAATTTGCCAGAAGATCTCACACCCTGTACTGCCGGCTCTGCATCTCGCATTGACGCTGGCTTCTTGAGGAGGGTTGGGGAACCGCTCTTTCCTACCGCCCCTCCTTCCCTCCTGGGCCCCCGCTCGGGACTTGTCATACCTCCTTTCACTCCTTGCCGGGTGACACGTCTAGCCCAGCCCAAGATTCCATCGCGTCGAGGCGAGGACCCTCCACTCTCTTTGCCAGGAGCATCCTCCGTCACTGCTGAATTCCTACTTGTCTCAGAAACCCCTTCGCATTCTTCGGCAGCACCCAACTCCCTCACCGCCCCCGTCGGTGTGGACTTGATAGGTGGAGTGGGAGGACCACATTTCCCCAGCACAAGGGCAGCCATCAAACTCCCCCTACTGCCGTAGTTGCGCAAAGGAGTTGGACCCTTCTGCACTCGCGCCCATCCGTCCAACGAGCTCTGTAATGGCTTGCCTCCTCGCCCACGATCAAGAACAGCCTTTGGGGAAGAAGGTGCAGCACGAACATCTACGACGGGCTTGGGCGGAAGATGATGACGCGGGCTGGTGCGAATCTGGCGTGGACTCGCCCCCCGAGGCGAGCTCGGTGCTGATGTGGAAGGCGATTCAGCAACAGAGCCAGATCTCCGGGTGCTAATAGGCATCCTTCCTCGTCCTGCTCCCTCCTCCACCCGAACGGCATTGCCGGCTTTCCCAACATCAGACATAGTTTGAGAGGGTTCCCGCTTGACAGCTGCCACATCTGACGGTGGAGAACCCCCATATTGCTGCTCCAGCAAATTCTCTCTTCTTTCGTCGGAAATTTGGAGTTCCCCATTCTCAGTGGTCAGGCGCCTGCTAAGGGCAGCTCGCAACTGTTCAGGAGTGACTCCTCCCCCTTGGAGGATTGCCGAACAAGAAGTCGACGTGGATGGATCCCCTCCCATTACCTGTCCAGTTGCTTCCGAATYGGGCTCGTCATCACCTATATCAGCTGCTGCTGAGGAGCTTCCTTCCACAGCACTCCCCGTGCCGCCATGCTCCTGCAACAAAACGAACCCTAAAGCATTATAAGCGAAAGACTAACCACTGCCAATCAACACACACGGATACGTGCAGCATGCATCATTAGGCAATCGCAGCATAGAATCCATTTCGTAATGCCAGGGACAACGGGGACTTCACTAAACGGAAGAGAATCAAGACTAGCGACATAYTAATCGACAAAGCTATCAACCTAAGAAAGAAATTGCGACACCAATAAGGACCCAATCGACACACCAATCACGACGCTGACAAAGAGCAATCAACTGAAATACCAATCAAGAAGATAGATTTTCAACCTACCCTATGGTGCTGCTCGACTGTCAAGACGTTGAGGCAACCGGAGCCGAGCCCATCATCCTTGGATSAATCAATCGAGAGGATCATCATCAAATTGAGCAACGACACTGACCCAAGGTAGGATTGGGCGGAGGGATGGAGAGAAAGTAGGAATAGGGAGCAAAGGACAACGGCATGAGGAAATGGAAAGGATGMTAATTCAGGAGCASGCTTATTGCATACGACTTACCGAGGACAAGCGTCTCCGTGCACTGACCGTTCTCGTTGGCACCTCAGCATCTCTCTTCTTGCATGCGCTGCTTTGCAACTCCTTTCTCGCGCACTCCTCTCCTCCCCGCGGGCGAGACTTCAGAGAGTGGGCCGCCGCCATCGTCSGGACAATCTGACGCCGAGCCCTCTTCCTCTCAGGTAAGAGCGCCACATCGTCACCTCCCACGATATCCGCTGTTGCGGAATTGCCAAACTCAACAACGGCGCCATCACCTTCTAAAGCGATTCCCCGAGATCTCTTCCCCCTGGCTGAGACCACGTCAGAGCCCACAAGTTTCCTCGATGCCACGTCAGCACCAGCTAGTTTTGGCAACGCCACATCAGCACCCCCAAGTGCGGACGTGGGCTTACTGGCCCTAAGGAGGTCAGGAATTCGAATTTGCTTGGGCGGCATGTTTGATGAACCTTTTTCCGACTCCAGATGATTGATTGTTCGGTATACACTATAAACTTGCAAAGAATTGCAGCCGGAGAATTTTCGCCCGCCTACCGGCAGGCCAGCTGTTGGCCACGCCTTTCATCCCTCCGCACTCYCATGTACGAATTCCAGTRCCCGGAGAATCTTCCCCACTCTGCCCCGCCCGTCGGCCACACCTGGCCTCCCTGTCCCTTCCTACAATTCCGTCACCACCGATGCCCTCAGAGACATCGCAACGACCCGACAATGGCAAACCTTCACTCATGCACTCGGCTACTGGAGTTGAGGAGGATCTGTCCCTCTTCTACTCATCTGCTAGAACCTATAATCAGAAGTCTCCCTAACGTATGGTTGATTGCATTCGCCAATCCTTAGCTCAAGGAATACATGCACCGGAGCGACCAACGTTGGTAGAGCCATGTCGTGGTTGCCGGCCGAAAATAGAGGATGAGGAGCAAGAGGAATAGTGGAAGGAAAGAAAGAAGGGACGTTCTGAGGCAATCTTCGTGAAAAACGACTACACATGCTAACACCGAATTTTCTCGTGTATAGGGCATGCTGATGTAGTACAATTCATCTCCCTATGCTGACTCACGAACGGTACAGGTCGTGCTCTCTATGTCTAACTGAATCGGACTACCAATGAGAGAGCATGGCTTCATGCCAGCCCCAGGCGGACGGAGGAAAGAAAGATAAGACAAGACGGATAACAACCGAGTAAAGGAAGRAGGACAATACCTAGGAGGAATGCCGCTGRCACCATGAAATAAACAAATGCTGCAGTAACGGAGGTCACATGGTAGACAATTCGGGAGGAAAACACCTACATCTTTCATGTCTTGTCTTGCCCACTACGCCTTCTATGTCCTATCAACGTGCTGCGCCAAGAGAAGTTCCACACAAATGCCGGGAGAAATATCAGTGCGGTAATCCATCAATGAAAAAAGTGCTCTCAGAAGAATAGCAAATGGGAAAGAAAGGAAGGAAAGAAACAAAAAAAGTTAGAGAAAACACACAGGACAGATATGTTATCATCCACCGAAAGAGTCTGCAGAGAGACTAAAAACAAATTGCTGTTCCACGCACATCAGCCTCTTCACAGACACCTGGTGGCTGTGCGAAACGACGTTCTGCTTCCCCGCAAGATGACACTCATCACGTGATGACGACCTCCACGCAAGCTTCCCCAACCAACCACCTCTGCCAGGTTCATCTTGCACTTTCAGCTACAGAGAATAGCATCAGAATTCCCTGGATGCTCCAGCTGAATTCCTCCTATGGGCAAGCACCCATTCCCCGTCACATTATCGCTCCCTCACCTTCAGATTGATCCTCTACCTCCTCCTACCCCTCCTCTTTCCATCCATAGGTCAAGCAGGTCCATAGAACAGAACGGAGAAGGTAATCGCGGAAAGCAATCGTGGAAGGTAAGCCCTCCCGTGTCCTTGGAGAAGGAGAGGATGAAGAACAAGGTGAAGATGGCGATGGAACTGGGAAAAGACGGACGAAGCTCCGCCATACTCCCAAAAAGTGCAAGTGTAGAATAATCCAAAATACAGACTGCAGCTGGGGTGTACCCCAGCAGACTGACTGGACCGGACTGGACTGGACTTGTACCGACAACGGTACCGGACGAGACTGGATTGGATGAACACACGGCCTGTGTTGTCAGGCCAACGGCCTGGTCCCACAGGCCGAACAGGCACAATGCCGAATAGCCAAAATAGCCCCGGCTATAGGCCATCTTAAATAAAGGCCCGCTGCACGATCCTCAAACCTGCAGACATTTCCGAAATTTGTCAGGAACTCTTCGGAAGGTTGGGGTTCGAAATAAAACCCCCCTTCGCCACACGGACTTTCAGAAGCCCACCTTTTGCCGCACAGACTTTCGGAAAATTGGCTGTCGTCAGGTTAGCGACCCTGACAGATGGACCTGAAGATGCCCTTTTCCGCAAGACCTCGATGGGACTTCTGAAAAACGGGCCGTGTTAGGCGGGAGGATCGTGCCACCTCGAAACTCCTTTCGAGGCTGAGTGGCCTAACACCTTTCGAACGGTTTTTGGAAGCCCATGGTTCGAAAGGCAGTGTGGCAAAATGAACTTTCGATTTTGCCGGTTTTGAAAGGCTGTGTGGCGAGCCCCATAAACAGGCTATCCGCAAAAGCAGCGAAACTCTGCAAACAATAAAGCTAAGAAATCTAGGATGCGGAGCAAGCTCCATGTTGGGTCCATGTGATGAAGCCTAAGCTAATGATATCATAAAGAAAAGCAGATGTTTGATATATACATCCTAATCTAGCAGCAAGAAATGATGTTGAATGATACAATCATAAAGTATTGAAGGCAACAGCCTCAATGCTGAAAGGAAAGGCAAAGTTATATGTCACAACATAATCAAAGTCATATCTCACAATATGATCTCGCGTCGTTGAACCACTGGGAGTGTGATGGTCTCAGAGGGGGTAAATGCAGCCTAGGAACCGAAACTCTTAGGGGCAGTGACACACAAAGGTGTGGTAGGTCATCAGGCTCAAGGAGGGGGGGAACAAAGCAAAACCAATGGCCTTAACAAAAAAACCATCAAGGCGGATGATACTCGACAGAAGGGTGACACCATGCAGGGTCTACCATGAAAGGAGAGTCTGGAATAGGATGAAATGCCTAACTAAAGGCATGAAGTGGTCGACACTAAGGTGGTGAATGCAGTGGGTGAGGGGATCAAGCATACAACTCACCCCTAGGAAGGGGGCCAGATATGGGAGAAGGGAAGCAAAGATAACACTACGGTCTCAAGTAGCCGAAGTTTATGAAGTAGTCGGAATCCTCGAAGTAGCCGATGATATTGACAAAGTATGAGTCGATGTGGATATCGAAGCAGAATCACAAAACACTGACATTCTGAAGTGAAATTGATGACGAAGTACATGAAGATGTGAGTCAGTGGAAAGATAGATAGGTGATAGAGGGTCAGTCATTGTAACGTACAGGGCGACGATGTGAGCGTTGTGGGTGCGCGTACGTGTTCATCTACAGCTGAAGAGTGGTTTCAGAGGAAACATACTCGTTCTCAGTGATATTTATCAGTCGAAGGGAAGAGGTTCAGTCGATTGAGCAGTGGCGGACATCTCAACACGATGAGCACAATCATATGTACAAACGAAAGTCACGGCGTGTTGCAAGTGCTCGAGGGGTTCCCAGGTAGCCTCCTCATTAGGACAGTTCTTCTAACACACAAGGTACTCGATGCATGGAGGGTAACTTGGCGAGATACGATGTGGAAATGATAAACTCTTCGTAATCGTCCATCATGATAGGTGGAGGGCGTTCGTACGGACCGTTGATGAAGTGCTCGGACGGTCCGCAATAAGGACATTGCAAGGAGATGTGATAAACATTGTGTGCCCAAGTTTGTCAAAGATAATCGGGTAACTTCAAGAAGAATCTGATTGGTATATCGAGTATCACAACAGATGGTCTAAAAATGCGGCATGTGCCAAAGAAATGACGCTTGAACTTGCGAAGTATATCCGCTTCGAGCTGCAAGTGACGGGCGTTAACAAACACATCATCACCGACTTTGAATGAATGGTTAATTCGTGATTAATTGACTCAAGCAGTCATGCGTACTTGGGAGACGGTTATCCTTTTGCATGCTCACTCAAAAATCTTCATCATATGCTCGACCTCTTCATCAAGCGTGGAACATCGAGTGTTTGGGTGCAATTTCGAAGGCCGAATAAAAGTTGCGGACGCTAGAGGGTGATAGTCGAGGTCGCAATGGTATGGCAACATCCTCGTAGTTGGCAAAACGGTATGGTTGTAAGTAAATCTTTATATGAGCTAAGTGTAAGCATGATTGTTGGTCATCCTTAACAAAATTTCAAAGATTATTACAAATAATTTTGTTAGTGACCTCGATATGACCATCTGTCTGAGAGTGGTAAGACGACAAGAAATGAACTTGTGATACGTACATTTCGTGTAGGCATCGGCAAAACGTGTTAGTGAAGCGCGGATCACTGTCATAGACGATGCTCTAAGGTAGGTCATGGTCTCTCGTGACTCGCTCGAATATGAGATTTGCGACCTCACAAGCGCTAATGGAGTAGAGGCATGAGATAAAATATGTGCGCTTCGTGAAGCGACCGACAACGACCAAGATAGCACCATGACCACTTTCAGTGGAAAGGAGAAGGGAACCGACAAAATCCATAGAGATAGATTGTCAACGACCTTCGGGTGTAGATAGAGGATAAAGTAACTCATGCGGAAGGTGGTTTGTATTGTTCACCTCCTCGCACGTAGGACACTCCTAAACGTAGCTCTGTATTATTTTTTTGTATTAAGGTCAAACGTATAAATGTTAGACACAATTCATTGTCTTCTAGACACTCATATGACGAACAACTGACTGTTCATAAGACTCCGCTACGGCCTGAACACGAAGCTGCCTAGTGAAGGGAATGCATACACATGCTTCTCGACGACCACATTTACCGTATTAGTACAAAAGACCGTTCGCACCTAGGAGATATGAAGGAATGGTCTTACATTGCCTCAATTTTGCGTAGATGTTGCAAAAATTGGGCAATGACGCTATTGAGTGCGAACGCAGCGGGCACTGAATCATCAACAATGGTGACCAAGATGACAAAAACAGTATAAAGTCTCGATTGAGGTCAGAACGGCGAGACAAAGCGTCTGTGATTCCGTTCATTTCACGCTTGATAGGCTGAGTGGTGAAGTGAACTCAGATAAGTCACGCTGCCAAGGTGTCTGTCGATGAGAAAGTTCGGTTTTTGTGAGGAAAGTCGCAGCAATGGAGTTGCTCGTGCGCACAGTGAAGGGCACCTCATGCAGATAATGACGTTATTGTTGAGTAACATAAACTACTGCGAGAACCTCACGTTCCTCCGAAGTGTGGTTTATTTCATAATGCAATAACTGACGATAATAATAAACGATGAAATACTCACTAACACAAACCTCAATAGTCTCATCCTCCACGCTGACCGGATAATAAGTAACGTATAGACTGTTAGTGGAAGGAAGTGATGGAAGGGTAATTGTCAATCGATAAGTATTGTCACGAGGAGGGGAAGAAAAGT